GTTATCTTTACATTATTATACTTTAATTTACATTACCATTTATATTGTGCTATATCCAAACTTGAATTAAGCTATCGAACTTGCATATTTAATTCTAGTATTATACTTTGCATTCATGATTTGTGAATTGTATTGTTTTAAGACTAAATGTCAAAAAAGTTTCAAAAACCAATTCACCCTCCTCTTGGTTAGTTATTCTTGGGTTATCACAAAGTTCACCATGTTTTGGCGTATTGTTGACCTCTCTACTGCATCTCCAGTACGTGCTCTTAATTTTGTTTACAGAATATGTTATGTTTTTGTTTTTATGTGCTAATTTGGATCCAAGTAATGGATGTTGTTTGTGCGCACCGATATTATGCCCAGTGATTTGCATTTCTGGAGTACTATTTAATTTACCAAGCATATAAGTACTGCAATGCAGTAGGTCTTGGAGTACGGAAAAGATACTGGACTTTATATAATTGCATTTTGTGTTGACTCGTATACTCTACCTTAAGGATTATATATTGGTTTGTTACTCTATCATTACAAAAAAATTGGTAAGAATATTTTCTTAAATTCCAATTTACATGCAGGTTAACTAACCCTAATCTTTTGCATTTGATGTCATCACAACTTCTGTTAGGTGAAGTGTATTTACTACACAATTTTACTCATATCACAAGTTAAGTTATGACTTTTTTGAAATGAAGGGGTTTTGGTTTTTTGAGTAGGATGATTTGGAATTTTTGAAGCCATAGTGGTTTTTTGTGAATTTTGTGAATTTGAATAAGAGGATCCCTGCTGAGACGTTGGTCAGCCCGAGTGTGCCGAGGTAGGCGTTTAGGGTGGTCCCGTTTGTAGGCTTTGGTCAAGCATTGGTGTAGCATGTAGCACTGTGTCTACAGTTGTAAGATTATTGTTTTTCTTTGCATCATATAATTATGTCTTTTTTATCAAATTGGTTTAGTACAGGTGGTAGTTCAAAAGAAGATACTAATAGTATGTCAAATTATTTTTAAGAAAAGAAAGTGACAGACAAAAAGAAGACTTCAATTCATTCAAAAGGACAAAGTGGCAGACAAAGACTTCAAAGTTTTCAAAAGAAAGACAAAGCGGAAGACAACTTTTTCAAAGACTACTATTCAAGATTCTTATTTTTCAATTCAATGTTGTGAAATGGAAACTTCTTGGATTCATAGATATTCATGCCTTGATGAATGTCTTGAAGATGTCTTTCCTCAAAATTTCCATTTCCTACCTAAAAAATCCAAAAACCTGGTGAGTATTTTGAAACGGTCCTTGTCAAATCTGGATCAGCAATTATTACTCACACTCCAAATTCTCAAAGAAAAGATCATATTGATTTCTCAAAAATTTCTATTTAAAGGGTATGGTCGTACGAAGACTGGGGGACCAACCCATGGAATGAGAAGAAAATGAATTTATTTAAAGATATTTCATTTGAATCTCATTTCAATTATTTTGATTACATTAATGCA